ATCGATACAAGGAATTGCTATAATCCATTCCACATCATGGATTTGAACCATTACAATTTGTGAGTTTATTCTATGAAGGGATTACACCGGGCCATCGACAGCTCATAGACATGATGTGCAATGGAGAGTTTTTAAACAAGGATCACGATGAGGCCCTAGAGTACTTCAATACATTGGCACAAAATGCCCAATCATGGGATATTATGAATTTCGCCGATGTACCAAGGTCTTCTCCGAGTAGTAATCAACCAAGTGGGGGAGGGATGTATGATTTAAAGGATTGAGAAAACTTGCTTGCAAAAACCACCAAATTGTCTCTGAAAGTGGATAGTCTAGAGGTCAATAGGAGGCATGAGGTTTCTAACATTACCAAGACCGAGGAGTTTTGTTCTATTTGTGAGAGTGTTGAGCATTCCATCTCGAAGTACCCCAACATTCTGGCACTTAAAGAGATTTATCATGAGCAAGTCAATGCCTTTAATCAAAGTAGGCAATCATTATTCCCACACTCTAAAACATACAATTCGGTTACAATAATCACCTGAACTTTAGTTGGAAGAATGAGAATATCATTCCTCACTGGTCTAGTTCTTTTTCACCTCCCATGCCTCCCAAGAAAAACCATTACCATTGTCAAGGTCCCTTGTCTAGCTCTCAATACCCCCGGTCCAATTCACAAAGGTTTTCACAAAACCCGCCTCCACAAATTTTTGGTCAACGGCGACCATCCAACCCACCCACCTACCAACCGCCTCAGAAAAGAAATTTGGAGGATGTCAGGCACCAAGTCATTCTAAGCCAAACAACAATCAACAACCAAACCACCGTCGCTTTCAATGATAATCGAACTCAAATCACATATTAACCAATGTCATAGGGTCTTCCCCACANATCCTCCAAGTCATTCTAAGCCAAACAACAATCAACAACCAAACCACCGTCGCTTTCAATGATAATCGGACTCAAATCACATATTAACCAATGTCAAAGGGTCTTCCCCACAAGAGAAAGGGAAATTTCCTACTCAACCTCAAGAAAACCCTAGAGGCCAACACGTAAATAAGTCATCCGNCACCTACCAACCGCCTCAGAAAAGAAATTTGGAGGATGTCAGGCACCAAGTCATTCTAAGCCAAACAACAATCAACAACCAAACCACCGTCGCTTTCAATGATAATCGAACTCAAATCACATATTAACCAATGTCATAGGGTCTTCCCCACAAGAGAAAGGGAAATTTCCTACTCAACCTCAAGAAAACCCTAGAGGCCAACACGTAATTAAGTCATCTGATCCCACCAAGTAGAGTTGTGAGCAACTCAAGGCGATCACCACCCTTAGGAGTGGCAAACAAATTGACAAAATTATTTTGCCAAAAGTCCCATCAAAAGCCACGTTGGAAAAAGAAAAAGAGATTAAGGGCAACTCTGAGGAGGGTGAGACAAGTGAAAAAGAAAAAATTGTTAATTTGAATGTGCATGCATATCCTATTCCGGCCCCTTTTTCCCAATGTTTGAAGTCACTGGCTAAGGTGGCTAATTATTATGACATTATTGAAATGTTTAAGCAGGTGAATATCAACATCCCACTCCTCGATGCCAGCAAGCAAATCCCTTTATACGCCAAGATTTTGAAAGATTTTGTACCATAAAGTGAAAATTAAATATGTGCAATAAGGCATTCCTCACCGAACAAGTGAGCTCAATCTTGAGAACCAACACATCGCTGCAGTTTACAGACCCCCACTGCCCAACCATTGCCATCACAATAGGCAATTATCGGGTGGAGCAAGCACTTCTTGATTTGGGGGCAA